ATTAATTTAGTAATGCTTGAAATCCAATTATCACACTGAATTTGCCATTATACTTGTGGCGTTGATATCTTTACCGTTTGATTGGCATTTAACTGAACAATTAATTACCCGTTTCGTTCACCACCTTCACCAGCTAATAAGAAGTTTCGTCTTAAATGTGGTTTAATAAAATTTGCCATTTCAGTACGTTCTTCACCCGTATGGTATTTTAACGAGTGGAAGCGTAATTTAAACCTCGCCGCCGCCAGTCCTGAGTACCGATCTACCAAATACCGATGGACTCAGCTAACCAATTTAAGAGAGAATCCGAACTGTAACAAATAACGTTAAGTAATTGGCAAAGCCGTGGATTTACACGTTTTGATTGTAAAACGACAAATATTTGCATCGGCCGTGGTACAATGTTAAATAATCAGGAAATATGCCGTGGTATGAGAACAGAAGCCATGATTTAATGGGGCTCATTTGTTAAGGTTTCATGTGTGAACCTCACCATACGCTAGCTAACTCACATGTCCTGCCACCAGTCTAGCCTCAAGGAAAATACAATAACATGAAATATAGGGAATCTCTAATGAAGCAGGAAATTGACTTCTGTTGGTGTGTTACAGTAGACCTTGGAAAATGGCTTTATCTAATCTATATTACGGTTATTTAAAACAATCAATTACAACATTAGAGACGCACCTACTGACTGACAGCATTTTCATGCTTTCTACTTTAAAAATGCGTGAAAAACCTAAAAGTTTTCGCGTTTTCCGTGAAAAAATATTTTATTTATCTGTCTATTAAGCGCTTTGAAAAACCGCATAATTTAATAAATACGTGACCGATTTGACAATTGCAAATTCCCTCAAATGGCGAAAACAAACTCAGTAAAAATTACATTTTCAAAATTAAAAGCGGTTGGAAACCCGGAAAGTTATCGCGCGTTAAAAGCAGAAAAACACTTGACTCTAAATATTTAGTTTCTCCATTCGTTAGACGAATTCTGAACGCCTTTAAGGGCCAGAAGCGCATTTTTTTTGAAGAACTCAAAATTCAAAGCAAAAAATTCCGCCTTGTTAAACTAAGACGAATGACTGGTCGTGCTCGAAGAACTCCGCACAACAAACATTGGACTAAATTGCATTTCGATGTTGTACACAGACTCTTCTGGCACACTGTTTTGTAGGCAACAAAGTGAAGATTTTACTAGTTTAGAATGTGTTTTATGTCTAAAACAGTGTTGTGGCCGAAGGGCTCGGCTCAATATCGACATCCAACTCAGTCCAATGATTGACCTTTAATGTGGCCACTTCGCTACCTATTTAGCATTGAATAAACCATTTTGCTTGTTTCTTTGTCAGCAAATTTGAATAATTTTTCTAGTTATTTCTCTTTATGTTCTCTTCTATATAATTTTATACGATATTTAGTGTGAGCTCTGCTATCTGTCCATTAACTCAAATACAATCAGCTCAATACCCAACGTATGCGCGGAGTATCTGAATTTTTGTCTGATAATATTTAACTAAACCGGATATTAATAAATCAAGTAATCAATACATTTGTTTCTCATTCCATTTGCTGCCATAGTGATCTTATTTCTTTCGCGTCTATTTCCCGGGTTTTTCTTCATATATCAGGAAATAAAAAGAATATTAAATATATATTTCCTTGTATTGAATTATATTAAATCTATTAGTTTTACTCTCGTTTGTACAATAAATTGCTTATTATTATAAACATTTGTAGATACCCATTTTACTTTCTCATTCGGGTCATTCTTTAATTGTTTTCCCTCATGATGAACCATCCACATCGATTTGATAACCTTTAATTTCCTTCACATTGATGATGGTTTTATTTACAATTTGTCTCAATTTTCTTATATTCTTTCCATAGCTGGAACTGTAATTGCACTTAATTTTATTGAACAGCAATCTGTTTATTTCCAGAACTTATCGCGGCACCATAATTTACAATTCTACAGAATGAAATCAAAATTCATACTTTCTCATTTACCAAGCACTTTTTACCAATCCACTTTTTTCGTAAGATACTAAAACCAATTGATAATAAATTTAAAAGGTATGTACGATTTGCGTTTATCGCTGATTTTGGTTTCAAGCTTTTGAGCAAAACGTTGGATTTTGTGAAAATGATTCTGGTTTGTATGAACATTTTTTTCTGCATCTGTTTTTTGGTTGCACTTTCTCTGAAACCCCCATATGTTTAGAAACATTTAAGAAACCCAAGAAATAAAAAAAAATTAACACTGTACACTATATTTGAACTTTGAGAATTACTAGTGCATGTTTTATCTTTGGATCTGCAACCACTTGGTTCCTGCCTCACAGTTGGAACAGTGAAAACTTCTATTTTCTTTCGATAATCTTTAAACAACCGATGGTTTTTTGCACCCTATCAAATAACGAATATAATCGTCCAGTTTTTTGTACTGTTGATAGTTAGGAGTTTGTTATGGTTGCTTATGGAGTAAATGGCGCTTTACATTGATACCGTAAAAATCTTTATTACATTCAGTTAAAAAGCTTAATGGACTATTGAAAAGTTGCACATGACAGGTCTATATAGATGGTATTTATTAGCTTCGCTGGCTAAGTAATTTCTCGAAATAAATATCCCATAGTTCCCGTCACGGTAGAATCCTGAAAGCCATTTTACAGACATAAATCAGATTCTACTCGGTATCGTCTTTTTCTACCGGCTGTGGATTCAGCAGATAAATTTCTACGGACATTTTTTCTCCCGGTCCACGATAAGAAGAGCCAGCCTAGTGCTTCGGTATTTCTCAGAAACGTTAATGAACCATCTAATTGTCATTTAGAACGGCCGATCAATTAATAATAAAACAAAGTTGACGTCTTACTCGGCCAACTATCTTTCGAATGATTATTTATTACAGGATAACTGATATCCATGCTCTTGTTATATGCGAGTAAAACCTGCTTTGTTCTGAGACATTTTTTGAACCGGCGAGGCCGCATTTTGATTGAAATATTTTGTTCAAATTTTATCGAATAGTTAGTTATTCAGCCTAGGAGAGGTGATTGAAATTCCATAGTCTCGATCAGTGCTTGAAACTGATTAAATATGTTTAAAAAAGTACAGTTTTTGGAGGAGTTTTTTGATAATAAGATCAATGAAAAGTTTCATGATGATCGAAATCTGGGTTTTACGCGGCCGGAAAGTTCTTTCTAAATAAATGTCTGCATCTTCAGTTGTGTAATCGTTTGAAGAACCGAACTCTGAAGATGTAAACCACGTAACGATTTTTGCAAACGATAGATGATCGGTTGAGTGCCATTCCAGTACCTACTGATGATGCATCAAATGAACAAACAGAAGACGCCAATCCTCACTTATCTGCACTTGCAGTGAGTGAATCAAACATCTTTGATTTGGATAATAGGGTGATTTTAATGTCAGTGGGTACCCGATCATAGAACATATCGGCAATCGTGTCGAATAGGTGGCATTCCTCCATAGTGGCAGCACTGAAGGAATGCTGGGTCAAAGGTGGAGAAGCGCATCATTTTGTCGTAATTAAGTCTCCGGCTATTGCAGCGCTCCCTACATCTAATGGACATAATAAGGGGGCGAGGTATAAAGTAATTGCACGCTACGGTACTGATTTATACGGGTACCGAGCTAAGAAAACCATACACCCAACCTATTTTTCCAATGCGAACGACTTTCCTATATCATCTGATAACACTGGCATATCTAGTTTGCAACTACACATCCGATTGATTTTCCCCATCAACACTTTCTGACTTTTTGGAGACAAAAGTAATTTACTTCTTCTTTGGCATTGTTAGGACCTCTTGAACCCGATTTTTACTGCGACTATTTCGGACTATATTAGGAAACTTGATGCTTGTTTAACAGTTCGCCTGGATCAAAACAGGAGTTAAACTAAAACTTAAATAGCGCAAATGTGGGCCGGTTCGCACTTTTCACACTAAATCCATCAAAGACACCAATTGATGAATGAAAAATGACTGATTTATATTAAGATATTCCCCAAGTAATTTTTTTGGATTAGTTAAAAAAATAATTCCTTTCAATAACCGAGTATTCATGACTCAAAAAGTACTTACTTGTGGGGAATGGGAAAAGGTTCAGATTCTAATGTTGTCTTAAGTTGTAAATTAATCGAGCATATAATCTTTAAAAAATCAACTTTTAAGTTGGCGGGAGTACGAAACTTTCAAACACATTTTGTGGAAAAATTCCATATACAAAAAAACTGTTAGAGAAATTCCATTTTCTCAACTCCACAATGTTTTCAGAGTTTGAATAGTTTAGGAAATTTCAAAAAATGTGAAGAACCAGCCTTTGATTCTCAGAAATCGAAGTTTCTTCCCCTGAAAACTACAGTTTCTGCTACAGTTCAACGAAAATTTAATGTTGCATGAAATAGTCAATATCCTCGAACAATGTTGTTTAATTATCCAGATGCGCAAAGGCGCGGCTTATATCGTACGCGAAAGGGCAATTAGCTAATAATTTAGAGCTGGTACTTAATTAATTAATCAGGCTATTTAGACGATTAATAACAAAGTCGTAATTGAATTATGGAGCCTTAAAAGAGTGGATCGCGATCGGTATGCTGTGCAGCCAACGATATACATCATGCAAAGACAACTTCATCTAATCTATACAATCGCAATCGGTCGCTTTAAAAAATTCCTACCATCTCACAATTGAATGATTTATCTTCCTCCTGTCTGAAAGGTTGCCTTCTATTTTGTAACGAAATTAATTTGCGGGCGTGAAACATACTATTTGTGTTATATGAAATATTGCCTAATTAGATAGATTGGTTGGTTAATTTGAAAAAATCACGAAATCTAGGTACAGTTCAGGTTTAATTGAAATGTTAATGTCGGCTTACTGCCGTTAATTCAAATAGTGAACTTTGCCTCCATCTAGAGCCAAGTATAAAAGGAGGGTTTTCAATTTTTTATTATATATTTTTTTAATTCCAGACATTGACGAATGTGCGTCCGCTCCATGCCAAAACGGGGGCACCTGCGTGGATCTGGAGGACGCCTTCAGGTGTGACTGTCCTACAGCGTGGGAAGGCGATCTTTGTCAATTTGGTAAGTTTTGTAATTTTTACGGTAATTTGCATTTCAGTCGGTCAGTTTAATGTACTAGTGGTGTTTGCGATAAGCATGTTTCCCTTTCACTTGTCCAAAATAAATGGGCAGTTCTGGCCGAATTAGGCAATATGCAAATCGATCTTAAGTAGCACTTAATTGGTGTGAATGAGGAAGTTGGTCCGGGAAGATATATTGTTCAACATTCAGAATGAATGAGCTTGTAACTTCGGTTAGGTAACAGTTTGTCACAAAGTGGTTCACATTTTGTGAATGTTTTTTAGTTACTTAATTATCCAGAAAATCCAGAGTACAGATCTGCGATTGAGGAACTAGTAAAGGACTGATTTAGTATAAAGCATGTATCTGCTTTGTTAGGGAACAATTAGATATTATCCACAAGATAAAATTTTTCCAATTGTACTTGTTAATTTTTTACTTATCAATGCAATAAAAGTATTAAATATAAAACTTGTAGAAAGGAAATTATATTTTTAATATACTAAACATTCATGTCAAAACTGTTGTGTTTCTGGATTTAAAAAAATACCAGCTTTCAGGAAATTGACACTGGAATCTTGTAAAAACACGGTGCGTTATTAAGACGGAAGTCTTTTGCTACCATGATATTTACTCAAAACTACTCACAGATTCAAAATTAAAGACTACATCCCAAAATCGTTTTCATCATAGGATAAAATTTTCTGCTAAAACCAAGCAGTTCCGTGTTGGGAAAAAAGTTTGGTACATATACGAAACGTTTTTCGATAAAAAATTAAAGTTGTAATTTCAATATTGATGTAAATCTAACAAAACGTTGACAGAAAAACACACTTTCAAATATGTTTTGTTGTAAAAAAGCAGTATTCTAAAATGGCTCTATTGAATTAACGCTGTTTGCGAATTTTTACCATATAACCAGCAATTATTTTGCAAAAAGTGAATTGAAACGAAACAACCGGGATTAAAAAACAACTAACTTTCTCATTCGTAAAAAAATCCGAAAAACAAACCGGCTGTATTATCTTTATACGTCGACACAAATAAAGTTGGTCCTACAGTGAAGAAGCGCACAGAAAAGAAACAGAAACAAGGATTTTTGTAACTAAGACCTAAATGTAGATTATTGAGATTGAATTGATGAATTGATAAGGAAACACCGATAAGAAAAAACTGTTAGAATATACATATATTATTTAAAGAGAACATTTTTTTAAATACTTTCGGAAAGAATATAAAAATCCTTTTTCACGTGAGACCGATGTAATTGTTTATTAATACTTTTCAGCCCTGATCATCTCTATCTTATGCTACTTTTGACACTGATAAAGAATACTTCTTTAGTGTTTAGCTCAATTGATATATGACATATGATTCCTACATATTTTCAGAATACCGAATACAAAAGAAAAAAATCAATGACTAATGATTGTATTTTAGATTTTACTTGCAACTTTTATTTAATATTAGATTACTTTTTCTGAAATGCATGTGGCGTAAATATATTTAAAAATCATTTTACGGACAATTGCTCGTTTCCCCAAACCATTAATTATGTTTTTTTGTATCGCATTTTGGTACTTTCACTCTCGGATACTAAACTGATACTTTCGTAAAAACTATTTTAAACGTCATGAGAAATTGAATAAAGATGCAGCAGATATGGAAGATGCTTAACAAAAATTGACTTTGATATCGTAACATAAAAACACATCATCTTCCGATATCAGATTCAGGCAAATTTTCATTTGGTGAAATCTTCATCGAACTAATAAACCTTTTCCAGATGCTGACGAGTGCCAGATCCAGAATCCATGCATCAATGCCATGTCTTGCACTAACTTAGTCGGAGATTATCATTGTAAATGTCGAGTGGGTTGGATGGGAAAAAATTGCGATCAAAACATCAACGATTGTGTCGGCCAATGCCAGCATGGAGCCACTTGCATCGACCTGGTGAACGACTATCATTGTGCCTGTCAACCTGGATTCACAGGTAAGTCCGATCATATTAAAGGTAAGCTAACGGTAAGAGGACGTTTTGGTCCAGCCAGTTTCGATCACTTGTTATCTGATCTCTTCAGATGCCGTTAGCAGATATTTTCTAAAAATCGAACATTCACACACATTAAGTTCAGTCCGGTATTTTATTGCTGCATTCTTATTCCACGCTTTGCACGAAGGGAATTCAAATATGCTGTGCTCAAGCATTTGATTTAAACGATCTATTTTATTCAACTAGATCGGGACGCTGTATACGTTGTCTGCGTTGATGTACGGATGAGATGGATGTCTGATCTCGTACATTCCTCTCTATTTTTTTTCGATGCCGCGCTTTTCAACTCGATTTAAAAGATATGGTAATGGTGTTGGATATACGGAAGATGTGGATGTCGTTTTTTCGAATCGAACTATCAGTTTAGTGACGTTTAGTGTGAAATAGCAAACAAGCAAGTTGAGTTTCTTTGCTGCTTTTGCGTAAGTAATTCATTATAATAATGTTTCGGAAACCTGAAGATGTAATTCCATTGAAATTGATTCCAGTGCTCGGCATCGTAATTACTTTTCGTTCAACAAATCAAATTCTTGTTTGAAATTCGACCATTTTTTTAATTTTCAATGCTAAATATCTTAGACTACATTAGGAAGGTCTGACTTACTGATTCGAGAGTAAATGATGATACTCTCGAAGTCTCACTAGTAGATTTTTTTGATTTCGAAACGAGCTTTTAATTGTTCGATATAAGCATAGCGAAAAAAAACCTTGAAAACGCTGAGATTGCAACAAACTCGTATACAGGTTGGGCACATAATTACGGTCTTCATATGGCATARWAACATCTAAAAAAATGKGCCACRTTTTGAAGMTTTTTTCATTTCATTTACATTTTTTAATCAAATGTACTGATTRCTAACTAATATTTATATTGTGCTGATTAATATCGAAWTTGTGTAAAATAACAATAGTTTTGTCTTAATCATAAAATATCTTTTGTGCCTGAAAAGTACCGYTTTCACWTTTCGCTTCGATTTKACATTTACCTGGTGACTTTTTTTCACTTGGGAAAAAACATARTTGTGCCTGCATARCAGTACGCAKAGAGTGAGCCTATTTTTGTCACTTTAATATATTAAAAAAACTGTCTTCTTTGAAYTAAAACAGAATTAAATTAATAATGTGCTCACTCAACWGTTGTTTTCGACAACTTTTYTAACAGAAAAAGTCGCTTTAGAAGCCTTYAGTTACTGTTTAYTTWATWCGAAGGTWGTGCCCTTGTSGCSTTACACTAAATCGCAGTCTCCTATTGATACKTTACAAYTGAAMGASAAAATCGAAAATTTAAGGAAAWCARCAATTTWAATAAAATAAAAAATATTAAAAMATTTAAATATTTTGTGAATTTTTACCTTTTTTAGAACTTCTTTGCTTGGAAAYACKTTAWSYTTCTTTGAACTACAAAGAACRTTGCATCCYATTTTCGTCTCTCCTGTATATWAAAAAAAATATTGKAGAMATCGCTCGAACCATTACMAGATTTTATTCAAATCAACATACCTATGATTAATTCAGATATACARTGTCCGGAAATAAGTGCAASTAAATGTTAAATTTCAGAACTTAAAAAAAGGAAGAAAAAGACGGKTTTAAGACTCMTRTAYGCTCATGCAAWWRCTGCAACRCATTTGTAGTGTTTGTTGATTGAAAATTGAAACGAAACAGGTTTCTTCGGGAMWCTTTGCAAARYCTCCCGATGYCATTRAGAATCTTCTCAACTTTCCGTGTCWTCCATACAGACGGTTCTTAGTARTAGTATTAATACACTTTTYCAAATTMATGCTGTATTCTTCGACATTAATATTTWAMCAAGATTAGGGTCAACTAATTGCTTTAGGACGCCGCATTTTWTGAAAWTGAWTCGTTRGTTTTACTTAATTGGTGCAATTTTTAAGTAAAYTTTTTCATGTTGATGAAAYTGAAAAKAYAWAACTGTTGTTATTGCMGTTCTGAAGTGAARACAGAATCTCACAAATCAAGATACAAAATAAAAATTTGATATGCACGATTTCACCAAATTAAACGTAATTACGACCACTCCTTGAACTACCACATGTTTCTCGCTCATTCTCTATGCGAGCAGCACTCACTGCCGTTTAATAATCGTCATACTCTCACGAAATCTGGTCTACCTTAACGGGTTTACATGAAATTTAAGAACCACCTATGTTATTAACTTTCATACTTCTTTTGTGGTATGTATTCAGCGCTGTTATTTATCGCTTTGAAGCGTTCAAGAACAAGATTCAGTAGTTTCGGGTTTTTGATGGTGTCGCAGCAAATCATTCGTGTGCATATCGAAGACGCACCTGCATGACCAATGAAGTAATTGGCATTTAATCGTATGGGTGTGCCAGAAAAAAAGTAGCACCAGAAATATCTGAAAACTATTTCTTTATTACAGGAAGGGACTGCCATACCGATATAGATGAATGCGCATCCAATCCTTGCAAGAATGGCGGGGAATGTGTAGACCAAGTCAATGGCTACAGGTGTATCTGCCCTGTGGGAATCACTGGGCATGAGTGTGAGGTAAGCAGAGCTTTTCATCATTTTATAAGTGATATATGTATTTATCTTTGGCTTAACAATTAGGCTTGAAATATTACGTTTTGTTTATCTTATAAAATGGCTTATTCTTCTTTATTTTAATCTCAATTTAAGCTTTGAAGAAATACATGGTTCAGTGTAAACAATATTTTTTGATCAATTTACAGTTGAAAAAATACATTTTATGCGTTGTAATTTTCTCTAAGGAAGTACATTTACAATTATCAACATCCCATGGAATGGAATCGATCGGATGAAATTCAGTATATCACACTGTGATCGTTCAAGAATGTTTGTTGTTTTAGCACACATTTTAAAGATGGTTAAAAGCAGAAAAAGATTTAGACGAAAGAATTCTACCACATTTTGGTGGTAGAATATTGAAGAAATCAACAAAAAATACACATTAATGCGTTCAAATTAATAAGAAAATAAAGACAGGCTTAAAGGAAAATTGAAATATCACACAAGATGCGAGGAGCTCAAGAGGAAGACAACTTAATATTGAAATACTAATTTCAACAACTTGAAAGCTCTTTTCTTAATGAAGACCTTATTGATCCCAACTGTATGAGTGTGCAATTTCTACGACAAACCCGGTCAATTTCTTACAGAATTCAGGTCAGGTATAATCAAGAACTAATGAATACAGATCTACTCAATCACGAATTTGTAATGAAAGTGAACCAAAAAAAAAAGAAAAGAAACGCTCCCACAGAACATGATGTATCTCTTTGTAATTAAGTTGTTTTAGAATCAGCGGTTGGTAGCGTTTCGGTCAAAGAATGTAGATGATAGATATGAGAGAATCGGTTTAATGATAAATGTACTAATGTGTATTTTTGCAAAGTTACTTGCAGCTCAAAATGAGGCTGGAAAAATACATTAGCTAGCTAACAATCTACTACATTCAGGAGATTATTAAAATATGGCTGTGTAAAATATTATATTTAGGAAAGGAATTCAGATATTGAAAAATCGCTGCTTTTTAAAGAAACATGTCTAAAAATAGAGCCACAAATCTAGAAATACCAAGATCATACTGAGACACATACGAGATATTGAATTAATGATGACATCTTTCGAGTTCTAAAACGAGCTAAATGTATTGCTTTCATAGAACTTATAGATCTCCTTAAGGAAAACGTTATAAAAATTATCGTAGCAAAATAGAAAAATACTTTTAGAACGGTTTTGCTTTTCTCCATCAAGATTCTCATAAAATCCGATTTTTTCATTTTTTTAAATTCAAAGCAAAGTTTAACAAATTCCGTCTGGATTTAGCAGTTACTTTTAATATAACCGCTCAACAAAATTAACGTTACACATCCAGAGTTGCCCAACTGCGGAACTAGATAAATTCTGATTGTTTAGAGCTTAGATTTGAGTAGATTCACTCAGTACGAGTGAATCAAATAAAAGAACTGTTTATATGCGCTTCTTGAATGGAGAATAACGGACTTTCTCATTGGGCATCGGAGGGTTCTGAACATTTCCGAAGATGACAACATTTGATTTGAATTGAAAATGTGCCAATAAGATTTCCGTTGCGTTTTCGCTATCGACATCTCGGTCACGACGAACGACTATAGAGCATGTATGCGTGCGAGCTCGTTACTCGGCCGAGGCATTTCCGGATTTTCGAACATAGTTGGAATTAGTAACGAGTTAGAACAATCAGTTAAATTCAAATCTGTGAAACACGATTCGGCTTAAATGAATGCTGAACATGCCCGGAACTTTGACCCCAATACAAACGGACAATTTGTCGGGAATGCCCAACAATATTCAAAGAATATTAAGCATATCATGAAAGTGGAAAAGAATATTTCAATGCAAGTTTGCAAACGAAAATGTTTAATTTGACTATGAAAAAATTTCAGAAAAATCTCTCAAACGTACCAGACAATAATTGACCCGATAAATGTTTCTAATAACCTCCTTGACTAGGTAACAAAATATACAAATTATTCTACTACGCCTGAAAAGTATCATAAAATCACGCTTAAAAAGAGTGTTTGATGTGTGGTATTGAGTCGCTTATTGAGCTTTCTCTATTTCATCCAACAAAAAAAAATACAAAACGAAAAATGATTTTTCACATATTCATCACACAGAGAAATGAAAATTTATTATTATTAGAGTTGTTCGAATTCGAAAAAAAACGAATCCATAGGTTGAGGAAAGTGAGACATCGCCAGATAATCGAAGGAAACGAACCAGTGGAAACTAATGAGATAAGCATTACATTAACGGAACAATCGTTTAATTGGCCAGCAGAAAAAGTGTAACACAATCCTGACGGCGATATGAACTGGAAGATATTAAAGATAATCAGTTGCGTTTACGTGAGTTCGTCTTCAGGCAAAACGATTTAAGCCGCTAATGTATACGCGAAGCGGCCGACTGCCCATGGCGACATTTAACCAGGTAATTGAGCACGAAACATGAAAGCACAAACAAAACAAATGCGTATGGAAGCTGCTACTTGCGCCTTCGCTTTGACTGACAAAGCGATTTTTTATTGCTGCCTAATTATGCCTAATTATTTCGAATATATTGATCGTGGATGCCGGGAATCTTGCTAAACAAATGATTAGCTCGGATTTTTAACATTTTTAAATGACTATCGTCGTCGGATAATGATCGCATAATTTATGGACCAGGATTAATATTTAATTGGAAATTAGACAACTTCTGCCAATGGTTGGAATTCAAAGCAACCAGACGTCTGTTCATTAACTAGAAATATTTTGAAAACTGAAATGGTGCATTGGCAGTAGCAGAAAGTTGGAACCAAGAGTCAATCAATTGAAGTAAAAGATTTTGCAAATTAGATTAAGAAAAACCGGCTACTGATTAGAATATAAATTCGTTCAATTTTATTAACCGGAACGATTTTCTATTTGGTTTTATGATCGTCTTTTCGTAGAAACATGCTAATCAAAATCTATGAATTGATGCAGATTGATCTTTGTATATTTATTGGATGGTACTAATTGTGATTAATTAATCAATTTTCTATAGTGTCCAAAGCATTTTCAAAGTGACAACTTACACAGAGATTAGTAGAAGTTCTAGAAGTTTTAATTGTCTTTTTTGAAGGAACATTAAACGATAACTGGAGAGAAAGAGATACAGTTCATGAAGGAAACCTAGAAATAGAAGAAACTGTTTATACTAAAAATCAATTTGTAGATATGACGATATGAAGATAGAAAGTTAAAAGAAGTATAAATGTAAAAAACGAGGACATCAAGAACAAATAAGTGCTTATACAAAACAGTCTCGGGAATTATTAGCGCCCATACCAACAATTATTGGGCGTTGAAAGAACTCTAGAAATGTTCAGTTAAATAGCTTGAAAAATAAACGTTTGAAGTGAAAAATTGAGTTTTGAAAAGTTTGAAATTGAACTAATTTCCACTTTGACGACAGGATAAGAAAGGGAAGGCACCGAACTTGAACTGAACTTTGAAGTAAAAGTTCGCTGTCTTGGACAGTTGCGGAATAGCGATTAAATGAACATGCAAATTTGGGCTCCTATTTCTAACACCTTAGAGTTGCCTCTTAGTTGATTTATCGCGTTTTCGTTTACACAACCTGCTACAGATTTATCGAAGCGACTACTTTTTCAACCTATACCGAATATTTGCATATTTGGATCATTTAGCTGGCCAGTTTTACTGTTACAGTTTAAATTCGAATCCGTAGAAATTGGCTGTGATTAATTTTCCTCAGCTAGGCCGAGGCGAATGTTGCCATAAAACTATATACATAAATAGCAGCCTGAAGCAGAAATGGTAGTAGTATCACAGCCTGTCTATATTAGAGCCATTTATTTTTGTGGCATTTATCTATTTCATGTGGGCCGATTTAGTTGGAATCGGGTAAATCAGTCAATGATTCGTGATAATTCATGTTAAGCAACATTGACCCGAATAGCGTTCGCATTAATTCAATAATTAATCTTTTTCAGAATGACTACGACCATTGCAATCCAGATCCGTGCCAGAATGGGGCACCGTGCTTTAAGGCGCAAAACGACTACTACTGCCATTGTCCAGAGGGTTGGCAAGGGAAGAACTGCAGTCAGGCAAAAATCGTCTGCGATAGTCCACCATGTGAAAGTGGTAAGTTGTTTTGAAGTCAATTTGTTGATCTAGTGTGACTTGTTCGCACCCGACCGAACAACTCTGAAAATGTAGATTGCTTCATTTCAAATCTAGCAAATTGCTTTTTTAGCAACTGGAGCTTGTTAATGTAGCAAAGTAACACTGTTGCACAATACAAGACCTAGATGATGCTTAAATGTCTCAGGTTGACTAAAAACACCAGATTAGTTTAATAATAAGTTAATTACTTACCAAAATAATTTAAAAAATTGAGTGGATTTTACAAAAATTATCCCTCTTGTAAATGGTTGTTGTCTCTTGTTGTCGATATATTCGACATCTAGCAAACTATTATTATAGCTAGACGTAAATGAAGCTTTTTCTGTTGAAAAATTGCGACAATCAGGAATCCAGGCAAATATTTGTTGAAAGGCACATCAGCGTTACAGCGTGTTTGTGGTTAGTTTTTTGATTGTGCTCTTCAAAATTTAGATTGTATAACATTGCCGCACATTCCTAAAGTTTTCCTTTCTAATGAAGACTCTAAATAAGTCCAGTTGGCTACATGAGAAAAGCTTGAAATCCGCGGTTTGTTTGCTTACCAAATGATCTGTTAGGAAAGTCATAATGACTTTGTTTAAGATCTAAGTGAATGTGATCACAACTCAAATCTCATTTTTTCACCATATTGAAGGCAGTGCTCTACTCCAAAGCAACGATTAAGGCCGTGTTGAGTTTATAGATCTCAGTACTAAAATCAGGCATTGAAAAGTTTTGTGAATATTTTTTGTAATATTCCTAAAGTTTTTCTCAACCATCAGAAAAAAAGTTGAACGCGTAAAACCTCCAATAAAACCCCTGAGAGAGTTTTATCTTGTCTATCTGCATACCGCCAGAGTAAGGATGCCCTATCTTGATCCAGCCTGTATAAATGACAGTGGTTTTGAATCACCCTATAGTTTCCGAAGCAATTATCTGCTCGAAAAAGTAATTTAAATATTTGAACTTTCCGACATTATGTTAATTTTGCGTGGTTTGTTGTATTATGTAACTGTATCGAGGCCACATCAATTTGAGCGCTTTAATATTCACGTTTCCTGCATTTAGAAAATCAGAGCATTATTATACAGGGCATGAATCTCGCCGGTGAATCCATAGTTGACAGGTAATTTCAAGACAGAACTGCGATGGAGGGAGCGCAAAATCTGCGGGAAACTTGCGACCCCCCGCCGTGTTTGAAATGAGACCGGACCGGTCCATGGTTTCGTTATTTGTCTGCCACGGTATATATATAGGGTGCTTAATTGACGCGGATGAGTTAAAAACTCCCATGCCGAAGCGTTATAAAAATCCCGAAAAAAGTTCGCCCAATATACACGCTTATTAAAAACGGGAAAATTATTAAATGGGACTGCTTCGCATGGCGGCATTGCAGTTTAGCACTTAGTAAAAAGTGTGGGTATGTCGATGTAGTACATGTATAAACAGTGGTCTGGGCTTTAAGGTCGGCAATAAACATTTTTATCATTATCGCATTAATGGTAATGTTATTACTTTTGACATTGCGAATCGCGGCTTATGACCGAACCGGTTCGCCAATTATTCGGCCAGTCTCTTCTTGCTAGCAGGAGGGTCGTCACAAATCAAAATGTTGAAAGGCAAAACATTGCTCTTGTATTGGCCTTAAAAAAACCCTCACAAATCACAATACAAAATTAAATTATTAAATCCATTGCTACGAAAGTACGGAATAATCAAAATATATCACAATCCGTCTACGCGATTTGTATGAATTTTTCCGAACTTGGGCACCAAATTACTACCGATCTAACTATCATTTGTCTCATTTTTTTCTCTTGAAACCCTATAAATGTTATACTATTTTCGGATTCTGCTTAGAATTTTGAATATTTGTTATTGGAAGCAATGAACTTTACCTTGAAATATCTGTAGACGAAAGCTTATATCTGTGAGGCATTATCAGTTTGGTTTATTTTAACCACGTTTTACAATAAATGCTTGAAAATAGTGCTTCCCACATAAAGTTTATAGGATTCCATAAGAAAATTTTCTATTCCTGTCAAATTTAAAAAAACGAGACACAAAATATTGTTGATCACATTTTGATACGAACTGTTAAAAAAAATTGTTTCAAAACGAAGTTCAGGAAACCGCCCAAAAATAACGTTTTCTAAATAAAAAATTCCCAATTTTGATGTTTTACATATTTAGTATTAAAAATAAGGGTAAGTTTGTCTAAGAGTGTCCATTCCAAGAGTGTTCAGTTTTCGAAATCTTTTTCTAATTTAATATTTTCATATGGCTATTTTGCAGCGGATTTTAAATGTCACTCACTCTGGCTTGCCGCTCACTTTTAGTTGCCAGTACGTTAACTGATAATAATAATCTTACTCTAATAAATTTACTGCAGTTTCGTCATGGCAATTAAAAGTAGCTAATTTTAAAAAAAGAAAATTAAAACACGAAATTGGCAATATTGCGAAAATTTTGGATAAAACAATCTTACCCAAGCTTATTAACGTATATTTTTAATGCTCAATAAGACAAAATCTCCAAAATTGATGCGTTTCCCCAATAAGGTGTTTTCACTTTTTTTTATGTTGATCTATAGAAAGTAGTTATGGCAAACATTACAATGATTTTTTGGGCAAAAAAAGTCTCCATAATAATTTTAAAGCGAATTTAAATTCAAATAAGATATTTTCCGCCAAAAACGCCGAACCCGTATCGTCGGTTCCCTATCCCGATTGTGACGTAGCAGGTCTTATCAACAAAGTGTCTCGTGTTTATTTTGTAGTTTTCGCAGCTTTGTTTTATTATTTAAGTTATTGTGATTATTATTATTATCTTGCTTAAAGGAAAATAGTGACATATGGATCACAAAATAAGTGGTGTTTTGTGCCAGGATGCAAGAATACCTCAATAAGTGCTCCAAACAAACTCTTTCTAACAGTTCCTCATGATTATGCACGGAAAGTTTTATGGTTCAAAGCAGCTGGACGTGATGTTCCTAAATCAAAATCAATGTTTTTTTGTTGCGAGGATCATTTTAACGAAAGTACGAACAAAAAGCTAATTATGAGGCAGATAGAATATGCCTTCGATCGTACTTTGTGTTCTGGCCAAATTCTACCTTGAAGTGCACAAAGAACCCTCGCGCTTCAATTCCACATATCCGATATCACCATATTGTTCTCGTGGTGCCGAAAATACAAATTTAAGAGTTAATAACTAATAACTGTTGAAATTCTATATATTATTTACCCAATTTAAACCAATACAGACAGATTAGTATACTTATTAAGGAGAGAGTAACTAATAATGAATTTACGGATTTTCACTTACGCTGCTGCTTTCACACCTTAAATTCGGCTGAATTAATGCGTCGTTGTTTTTTAAAAATTCGGTAACCATCAAAATACGTACACATGGTAAATTGTTTGTTGACGCTTCAAGGAATCCTTCTGAAGCGATTTTTTGGTTTAACACAAACTATAAATTATTTAAATCCACAAAATAATTAATGAAACACAACCAAACAACTAAACACAATGCACAGAACGTAAACAATCCGCCATTTATATGGCCAGAGACGTCACAACCAATAGGATTGCGTTTTAGAGATTCATGAATAATTTGAATTTGTTTACTAAATATTTAACAAAATAGCAATAGATAGATAGTATAAACTTATTTAATGTTTCATATAAATACATATATATATTACCATAGATTAATGTTCAGTTTGTAGGACTTTTTGATACAATGAAAACACCCTATTAAAATCCATTAAGTGTGACATTTATTGTCCTTAATGTATAAATTGTTATTTTCAATCGCCTTTTGCCTCATGAATTCGCAAAACTATAAACAGCGGTTAGAATCGCATTCGCTAGATGTTGAACAAGTTTAGTTTTGTAAGAGTAAAATAAGAAAATAAAAATAATAACTCTTCGAACTAACGGAAAATGTAAATTTTAAGGAAAAGTTCCGCATCAGAACTCATTTTTTTTTATAATGTGAATAAAGTATCTTTTTTGACATTATCGAAAATTGTCATCAGAAAAAATTAATCAGAACTGAAAATTATATTCAAATATGCGTCGTTTTACCGTGAAAAGTCACTTTACGAATATTTTCGATGATGAAAATGTATGTATAGAAGCCCTTAATTACTTTGAAATTCACAACCTGGTAAACAGGGGAATTATTGAATAAGTA